AAGCAAAGAGATAATCTAAGTGAACGTTTTTAAAGTTCCCTATAAAATCATGTTCTTTAATCAGTATTGCCATTTGTCTCCTGCCAAGTAAAACAATCTTTCATACCAGGGAAGTGGTCTAGGAAAAAAAAAGCAGAAAGAAGCCATGTGCTTCAAAATGGATATTTTTTAAAATGGAAATTTATCAGAGATGTAAGGTTAGAGTAAGTGAGTGCATGGATAATTTCCTTTCCAAGGGACTTGAAAAACTGAGTGTTTGGGAAGAGGGCATAGGGGGCCACAGATTGGCCCCTCCCTGCGACCAGGACACACTTGCCTGAAGACCCAGGCTCTTCCTGCCTTTATCCCTAGATGGGAAGGTTGGAGCCCAGCTCAGTGTTTAACAGGGATATCAAAGCCTACAGGGAATGCAAAGTCTTTTTTCTTGGTTTGACTAACATATTCTTTAATTAATCAGTCTCCTCCCTGTCCCTCTTCCCCCCTCAAATAGCCTATTTTTATCTTTCAGACACATTTTAGATATATATAATTATTTTTCCTCAGATTTTCCTATTTTCCCCCAGGACCTCCCCTCTTCTAAAATATCAAATTTGATCATCTCTTCTAAGGGATGCCAAAACAATTAAATATTACATAAATTAAAATTTCCTATATTAATTCTATTTGCCACCACTCTAAGCCCAACATTCAGTTACTTATACACATAGATACATACATGTACACACAGTACAGGCCAGTTTTTTTCTGTCTCTCCATTGTCTTAAAATGTCTGGAAACCTGATTTTAGTTAGGTTTCCCCAGAGCTTCTCTGAACTATTTGAAAAACTCAGCTGATGTTGTGAAATCAACTAACCAAAGGGTCCTCAGGTCTCCAGGGACATCCTACAACCCCCTGTATTTTTGTTTCTTAAGTTGGTGTCTTTGGGCTTCTTCCAGGGAAGAAGCCAAGCCTTTTGGGATTTTAAGGTAAAGTGACGGAAGTAGGATGGACAATGGCCAGTCTACATTCTTTAAAACATATTCTGAGACCCTCTGTGAGTGTCAGACACTCTCCTTATGTTTTCTTATTTAATCCTGGTAAGAACCCTGTGAAGTAAGCATTATCAGATCTTTATACCAACAAGGAAGCAGGCTTAGGGGGGTTTGCTCGTTTGGATGGAGTCAGGTTCGCAGTTAAAGGAGGAACACCCCTTACAGGGCCTTTGCACAGAGTGCCTAGACTCGGAGGGCACCAACAAAGCAAAAGCTTGACTACTGTGTCTCTCAGACCTGCCTAGGTTCAACGGGGATGAAAGAGAAAGCTCCGTGGTCCCACAGGGGAATAAAGGGTTTCAGATTTGTACTGTTCCAGGCAAGATGCAGTGCACATTTAAGTTGGGGTGGGGTGCACAACTTTTCTGATAGCCTGCAGGTTCTCAGAGAAACTGAGTCTTGCCTCATCTGGTTAGGGGAGGCAGGGCATTTGGTGAGAGGTGTCTCAGTGATGCAACAGCCGTCACACAGACAGCACATGTGTGCTGTTGCCTCAAGCTGCCCCAGAGAGGGCATTGGGTCCTCTATCTCTGGGGCCAATCTGTGGCTCCCTGTTCCCTCTTCTCTAGATCCTTCTTTAGGTGGAGTTCTGGCCTTTCCTGAGAGTTTGCAGGCATGCAGGAGTTGGACTGCTGGGGACACACACACACACACACACACACATGTCCCTAAATATATAGATCTTTAAAAACCCAATCATGCTCTTTCATGCCAAATATGGTATTTGCACTTGAATTCAAATCCTGAGTTACAACCCAGGTGGAGCATCTTGCCTTAGGTTTAAGGTCCAAGGGATTGAACTTAGTTAGGAGATAAACTGGTGAGCAAAGAAAGCAATTCTCATTACAAAGTAGCATTTGTTTGGGGGATTCAGGTCCCCCCAAATATTGTCCTAGAGACCACTACTAATAGAGAGATTAAGTAACATCCTAGTGTCAGGTTACAAACTCCTCACCTGTACAGGATTCTCCATACTTCCTCAGTGTGCAACCAATGATCATTGCATTCTATCTGGAGAGGGGAATGGCCTCTCTGTTAAGGTAAATAGCCTTGTACTAAAGAGTAGAAAAACTAGATTGCAGGAACACGAAATTGAGGACACGAACCTTGGCTATGGGTCAGAGATGTCTTTTGTCTATCTCTTTGGTGACCATAGTTGCTTGCAAGTTGTCCTTTTGCGTGCTATTGCTATGATTTTAGTTATTTTAGGTTCTTAATTTTGTTATTTTGTTTTCGCCACACAGGATAGACTTGCCCAGCTGACCTGCATGGAAGCTGAAGGCGCTTGTGTTTGAACATTCTATTTAAGGTTGAAGCAGGGGAAAAGAATTAAGGTAGAAATTGATTGTTGAAGGGCCTTTTGCAATTTCCGTTTTCCTAAAATAGAACATCCTTCTTCCTCAGCTACCGTTAACCTCTATTTAGAACAGAATAAATCGCTGGACTCAAAATTTATGTTATACACTAAAGTCAGCTGGAAAACGACCTGTCTTTTCACCGAATGTCATTATTCAAACTATAAATTCAATACCCCAGAATAGTTTCACATCTTCTTGATGGCCTTTCACTGACCCAAAGTCCTCTGTGGGTTTTATGGTGTAAGCATTGTTTGTGGTTACTCAACTCCCTTCTGCCCAACTTTCACAGAAGCTGACTCACCATTTGCTAAAAGCATCCCATCACCTTTGCTACAAGTCAAAGAAATAAATTAGTGTGAAGGTTTTGTTGTTATTATTGTTCCCCCCCCCTTTTGTACTTGGAAAAGATTCAGGGTTTTTTGTTTGTTTGTTTAGTGTTTCACAAATTCAGCTTTTGTATTCTCATGATTCTGGCATTTTCAATTATAATTCAATGCCTTTTTTTAGAGCTGGAGTAGAGGAAGAAGATGTTTAGATGTTTGACATTGAATATCTGCCATTCAGACCTTTCCTGCCGTTCCCCTGTGCTGAAATGAAGTGGGGCATGCAGAAGTGACTCTGAAATTGAGGGGCAGAAGGTGGGGTCCTGGAAATGAAGGTTGGGGAACATTTTTTCTCACTTCGCCTCCTGGCCCACCTGGCAAACTCCTGCATTCAAATGCCCCCAGCACTCTGAAACCCTCAGGGCACCTCTGGGAGCCTCAGACTTGATCTGATCCATTGAAAACTCAACCTAGGGAAGAAGTGATGATGAACTGACAGTTTCTTCTTATCTAGAACTGGAGAGAAGTTGGATCTGACTCTAGTCTGTTCCTCATCTGAGGTATGTCAGGATAGTCAACAGTTCTCCAAATGAGAAAGTAAAAGAGTGGGTGAGGAGTGACAGATGGGGCTGTATGAAGCCTGGGCTGGCTTTAGCAGCTGCTGGGTTATCCAGGGAGAAAGGAGAAGGCAAGGAGAGAAATGACAGCTGTGCTCGTTGATGTGAACCTTGGGAACCGGGCCTCTTTGACTTTCCTTCCATAAATGCTGAGAACACACAGCCGATAAGAGGCCCTAAAGCCCATAAGGTGGGCTCTTTGGATTTTACAATTCCCTTGCCACCCTTAGCAGAAGAAGGAGTGAAATAAAGTTTAAAATGTGTCTTGCTTTATCCCCAAAAGACCACAGGAAGTCCCTTTGTTTTTCCTCTTGTCAACTCAGTCCTAGACAAGGTCTAGACTAGAGTCTTTGAGGCCTTAGCTTCATACATTGGACTGTTTCCCCCAAACTCTCTAAATAGAAGTAGGACTCTGAGTCCTCTGAACAGTAAGAACACCTGCAGTTCTGTCCTGTGTAACTAGGGCATGCCTGTTGACCTGCTTGTATAGGGATAGCAAAAACTTCTGGAGCTTTTGTAAGATCCAAAATTTGTTCAGAATTAAGAACTTCTTGATATCCCGTAGCTGGTCCTGTAGCACTTTTAGTAACAGCATGTTGTACTGCAAATATACCTCTTGGCATTTTGGATGGGCAGGTCTACTCTTAGATGCTTTGATTTCAGGGGATAAACAGCAAATTCTGAAGAGCCCTAAGCAAAGCCAAGAAGTGCATGAAATTCTCTTGGCTGCCCCACCTCCTTCTCAATGTCCATCTGCTCTCTTAGAATTGATTGATTACTCATCTTTCTCCTACCCGCCATTTTTTGAGCATTACCAAATGCTGGGGAGGAAGCTATGCCCTTCGTTTTCCCCCTGCCAGAATTCTTTTCTCATTTCACATGGGAGGAGAGAGGGCACTGAGGCTTACACGGTGAAGGAACCTGTGGGCGGTAATGGAGCCAGGGAAAGGCAGAGCTCCTGGCGGTATGTTGTGGGAAATGGATCTCTCTCGGCTTATCCTTTCCCATCCCTGCTTTGACAGCCCTTTGAAGGTAAAAGTAATCCGATACCTACCCTCAGCCAAAATGTCAGATGATTCTTAAGGTTTTAATGTGACAACTACTTAAATTGACTATAAGCACTTTGTCTTGTATCTGCAAGCATTTGTATTTTAAATAAGACTCAAAGACCAAAACAACCATAGAGATGAAACCCCGGGACAGGGCGGTCATGAGGGCGGGACTACCAAAGATTCCTGACATCGTTCCAAGTTAGTGGCTCTGTGCTCATATGCCAAGCATTTCACAGCACAGCTCTTGCACATAACAGACACATAATTAGCTGATTAAAACTCAGTTCATGTTCTCCTTAAGTGTAAGGAAAGCTGTTTTGGTTAACTTCAGTTTCTCTTAGTGAGAAAGCATCAGCTTTATCCAGCAACTTCACATATGTATCTTTAAGTTTGAAATACCCACTGTTCCTAGGTCAGGTTTTTATTCTAGGTTGCAGAAAATACTTGGATTTATACATCAGGAAAAATGAAAGAATGTTCTATAGTTCATGGAAATTTATTTGGCTTTATTTTGACAGTGTTTTGAATTAACCAGAAAAGAAAAAGGTGAGTTTAACATGTTTACACTGAAGTGCCTTTATGATATTTTGTCTTGTTTGTCCCTGATCACAATTTTAGTGCAAACATCCTTTTGGATGATCAGTTTCAACCCAAACTAACTGATTTTGCCATGGCACACTTCCGGCCCCACCTAGAACATCAGAGTTGTACCATAAATACGACCAGCAGCAGCAGTAAACATCTGTGGTACATGCCGGAAGAGTACATCAGACAGGGGAAACTTTCCATTAAAACAGACGTCTACAGCTTTGGAATTGTGAGTACCAACTACCAGTTAACAAAGGAGGAGAGTTTATTGCTAAGAGTGTTCCAGATTCTAAGAATTTTTAAAAGAATTTTAACTTTTAGACTCATTGGTTTCCTGTTAGCCCATCTTATACTTTAATTTTATATAATCAAGCAATTAATAAAATATAAAGTCATTAATTAAAATGAACTATATTCATAGTCATGGTTAATAGCTGCAACAAATTCTGTCTATATTTTTAAGATATATAGCTGACTTTCTATATATTCCTTGTAGGTAATAATGGAAGTTCTGACAGGATGTAGAGTAGTGTTAGATGATCCGAAACATATCCAGCTGGTAAGAATTGTCTTCATTCTGGCACCTATCTCTTGGTCATTTTCTGATCAGGTTCTCTGTGATAAAATTGTCTCCTTCTCTTCCAAGCGGGATCTCCTTATAGAATTGATGGAGAGGAGAGGTCTGGATTCATGTCTCTCATTTCTTGATAAGAAAGTGCCTCCCTGCCCTCGGAATTTCTCTGCCAAGCTATTCTGTTTGTCAGGGCAATGTGCTGCAACGCGGGCAAAATTAAGACCATCAATGGATGAAGTGAGTATGTACATGGTTTTATTCAAAACTGAGCCCACAGAACCATGGAAAATCTAAACTAGATAAATTGTGTATCTAAGTGAATTCTTTGCAACAAGACAAATCCAGCCTCTAACAGAGAATTCCAACCTAATAGTTTTAGCATTTCCAGGTCAAAAAGCCACATTCTTTGGTACTCTGGTAGAGGTCATTTCTAGGTGGAACCAAGATCAGACCACAAAAAATTCAATGTAAAGACATAATTGAGCAGTTTACAGGGAATATTTTATTCAATTTTTTCTTTTTTTTTTTTTTTGGAGACAGAGTCTTGTTCTGTCACCCAGGCTGGAGTGCCGTGGCACTATCTTGGCCCACTGCAACCTCTGGCTCCCCCGTTCAAGTGATTCTGCTGCCTCAGCCTCCTAAGTAGCTGGGATTATAGGCATGAGTCACCAGGCCTGGATAACTTTTTTTATTTTTAGTAGAGACAGGGTTTCACCATGTTGGCCAGGCTGGTCTCAAACATGGACCTCAAGTGATCAGCCCATCTCAGCCTCCCAAAGTATTCAGTTTTCATTAAGAGATCCAGCTCATTATAAATGCAGCATATATTTTGCTTATTCATATTTAAATAATTATTAATCTATCCATAGACTTAATCACCCATTTATTTATTTTTGTTTGCACAAACAAACAAATACTTACTTAATGCCCACTCTGTGTGTGCCAGACTTTGTATTGGGTGCTGGGAATATAACAGTGATCAAGAATGACTACCCTCAAGCTCACTGTTCAGAGGAGTCAGATCAGTAAACATAGAATGTTAGTCCAGCAAAAGAAACAATGATATACAGAAGGCCAGGTTGCCATGGAGTGTGGACTCAGAATACATTAGCTTGTGGAAGTTAAGGAAGCTTCTTGATAGATATGAGAGCCTAGCTATGATCTGAAGAACAGGTTGGATTTAGGCAGCAGGAAGGATGGAAAGACATTCTAGGCAGAGAGAGTGAACACTTGCAAAAGCTTCAAGGTGGTGGAGACCATGGTGCTAAGACCATGGAAGGGGGCCGTGAGGGAAAGACTGGAGTGGTTAAAATAATAGAAGCTTCCATGGCAGAGAGACATGAATTCCATTCTAGGAATTTAGATTTTATCCTGAGTCTATCATAGAGCCATGCAAGGGTTTTAAACTAGGAGTTGACATAATGAGAATATAAAGAGCACTGGCCTGGGAGTCAGGAGAGCTGTGTTTCTGGCCTGACACCACCAATAAGTTGTGTGGAGCCAAGAACTCAGGAAGAAGCTATGAGATGTATCATGCAGGGACAGGGAACTGGAAGCCTGGCGATCTGGTGTCAGACAACAGGTCTATACCTTACTGACTGACGATACCGATTCCCCTTTCTGAGCCTCAGCTCTGTCATCTATCAAATGAGAAGAATTAATGTTGTTTGTGCAAGTTAAATGAGATAATATATGTGGAAGCACTTTGTAAATGTTAAAACTCTCCATGTTTTTTTTTTAAATCCCATGTGTGTATGTGTATATGAAGGCATGTTGTATGGCCTATTCATTAGATCAAGGATTCTCATATCTGGCTGTATACCAGATTATCTGAGGCTTCTAAAATACAGATTCCTGGACCCTGATCACTTATTTTTTGAAAGACAGTCTCTAGGTTGGGACCAAGGCATGTATATTTTAAAAGAGCTCCCTAAAACTTCTGGCATTTAAGAATTACAGGTCGGGCCCCCCATTTCCTCCTTCCCTTCCAATCCTCCACATATTTTGGTTGAAGTAAAAAAGGCAGAGACTTGCCCAAGTTCACAAAGCTAGTTGATGGCAAATCTGAGGCTTAAGTCAGGCTTCTTGGTATTTACTTCAGTGTAGTTTCTTTTATACCTTGTTTTAAGTCACTTAATTTACTCCTCAAAATAAAGAGTTTTAGCTGATCCATTCTAATTTGAAATTCTATAGTTGAGCTAATTTCATGAAAATGAAAGAATATTCTATATAGGTAGAGAGAAAGGGGTAAAAGGAAAAGTTGTTCAAACTTAATTCAGTGTCTGTTTGCTTCTTTGTTAATTAGGTTCTACATACTCTTGAAAGTACTCAAGCCAGCTTGTATTTTGCTGAAGATCCTCCCACATCACTGAAGTCCTTCAGATGTCCGTCTCCTCTATTCCTGGAGAATGTACCAAGTATTCCAGTGGAAGATGATGAAAGCCAGAATAACCATTTACTGCCTTATGATGAAAGCTTGAGGATAGACGGAATGACTCCAAAAACTCCTTTTGAATGCAGCCAGTCTGAGGTTATGTTTCTGAGCTTGGACCAAAAGCCAGGGAGCAAGAGAAATGAGGAAGCTTGCAACATGCTGAGTTCTTCTTGTGAAGAAAGCTGGTTCCCAAAGCATATAGTTCCATCCCAGGACTTAAGGGCCTATGAGGTAAATATGGATCCTTCTTCAGAAGCTCCAGGCCATTCTTGCAGGAGCTGGCCAGTGGAGACCAGCCATTTCTCCAAATTTTCCTGGGATGAATATGAACAGAACAAAAAGGAATAAATTCCACCAGAAGATAAAGAAAAAAGCAAGTATTGTATAAGCACCTGCGTATAGGAATGACCTTGGGAAGACATTGGCTCTATAGGCAATGCCAAGAGAATGATCAATGGTGAGTTTGGGTGATGCAGATAAACAATCTGGACAATTCCATTTCTTCTTTCCCACCCTCAAACAGAGTGCCTCAAAAAATTGTTTTATCAGGATAATTGCCTTATGACCAAACCCATGCTCAATTAGAGCCATTCAAAATTCATTAAGATCATTGGTTCTGACTTTAGCCAAACAAAACAATCAAAACCTACCAGAAAGGGACTGGATTCTAATGTCTTCTCCATCAACCTCAGTGTGGGTCCTCAGAGCCTCCATCTGCCAAGAACATTCCGTTTGATTCCATCGTTTGGTTTAGCTTGCTTGCAAGGGTTGTAGGAAATGTCTAATTTGTAAATGTTAGTAGATACCTTTGGAAAGAATCACCTTGCTATTCTGATTGACCCCTCATGTTTTCCCATTAATCCCTGACTAGCCTGCTTGTCTGAAAATGAGCCAGATTCACCCTTGGCTATGGCATGTTCTATGTAGAGAGGGGATTTCTTCCCAAGATCCATCCTAAACTCTTAGGACAGTTTATCATGTATACCATATATAATGTAAGCATTGACTATTATTACAGCTTTTTGAAAACATACTTAGTAACCTATTATAGCCTAAGTAGATAGATGAAATTTCCATCCAGTAATTTTTGTTCCTGAGAAAATGGCTGGTCAAGGGCTTAGGTCAGCTTTTTGTTTGGTCTATACCTTCCAACTCTGGGCCTTCACTCCTGCTGTTTCCTGGATCTCCCTCTTTTGAAATCCTACCCAATCATCAGAGCTCTACAAAACTGCCAGCCTCCAGGAAACTTTCCTAATCTCTACAACCAGAAGTACTCCCTTTATCAGTATTTCAAGAGCAATTTTTTTGTATTTCTATTTTATGCTTGTCACTTTCAGAATAATATCAAAGCTGCTTGTCTCATCTCTTTTACTAGGTTGTAAACTCCCTATATTAGTTTTCTATTGTTTTTGTAACAAATTATCACACACTTTGTGACTTAAAGTAACATAAATTAATTATTTTGCAGTTCTGGAAGTCATTCCTTCTGGAGGCTGTCAGGGAGAACTCACTGTCTTGCCTTTTCCAGCTTCTAGAGGTCACCTGCATTCTTTGGCTCATGGCCAATTCCTCCATCTTCAAAGCCAGCAATGTGGCGTTTCAGATGTCTCTCTCTCTCTCTCTCTCTCTCTCTCTCTCTCTCCCCCCACCCCCCATCTCACCACATCTTCACTACCCTCTTCCTCTCACTCTGACCCCCCTCCCTGTCTTCTATAAAGACCTTTGTGATTTCACTGGGCCCACTCAGATAAGCCAGGAAAATCTCTGTGTCTCAGATCCTTAATTTAATTATACCTGCAAAGTCCGTTTTCTCGTATAATGTATTCACAGTTTTCTGGAATTGGGACGTGGACTTTTTTGGGGGCCATTACTCTGTTTGTCATAGTCCCTGAGTGTGTAAGGGCTATCTCTTCAAAGCCTAATGTGTCATCCTACAAAAAGCAGGTGTTTCCTTATAAATATTAAGTTGAATTAAATTACTCCCATGAACCCACATAATCAATAATTCAGCCATAATAAACATTGTTGAGTAAATTTAAAAGGGAGGATAATGACTATGATGCTGGATAGAAACACTGAAGAAAACCCTTTTCAGAGGATTTATGGAATCTTCCTCTCCAGGAAGCTTGTAATGGAAGGGTAAACCTCCAGCTTCTTGTCCAGCAGAGGCTCATCATGTCTTTTGTTTTATTTTTTTGGTGAGTCAGTGTGGTTGGGTTAATTGTACTCACATTGAATTCCATGTTCAAGAACAATTAATCAAAGCAGAAAATCATCAGGAATCATGGTCAGGTTAACAGATGAAGGTCAGAAATATGGAGTTACAATTCTCCAGAAAGGCAAAAAGTGAGACTAAAAACATGATAAGTCTTAGTCTGTTTGACAGGCTTTATACAGGCCCTGCATAAGCAGTTGGGAGAGCCCATGCCCACCACGGCTTTGTGGGGTAACTGGCTGCCCAGAGCTCTCTGCCCTCCTATGATCACCAGACATGTGAAGAGGTTGGACCAAACTTCATGTAACTTTTATTCCTGTGACCTATCCTAATTTGGCAACTCCTGATTCCACACATTAATGAAAGGAAGCAGCAAAAGTCTTTGACATTTGGCCTATGTATTGCATCATCTGAGGCTGATTTAGCTTAATTTACAGATAGAATCTGAGATTATATTGGCTGAATTGGGAAAATTAGCCTGGAATCATGTGAAGTTGCCACTAATAATTCACAAAAGAGATCAACAAGAATTGAATTGTGTTAAACTGTTTTTCACTTAGAATATGGGCCCCCACCAACACATTCAATGAAGGGTCATTGAGGAAGCTCTGATTAACACCAGGTGCATGCAATTACTCAGCACATATAATCTGTTGGTATTATGTTGATTTGAACGTGCTGAGCCAGCTTAAAGCAGGATTCCTCAAACTGTAGTGTGCATCAAAATGACTTGGAAAGCTGGTTAAAAACATGGATTGCTAGGTCCACCCAGTTTCTGATGTAGGTTTGGGGTTAGAAATTTTGCTTTCTAGTAAGTTCCCAGGTGATGCTGATGCCACTGATGTGAAGCCCACTCTTCACATCAGTGAAAACCGCTTCCTTAAAGTGCTCTCATATTGTTATAGGTTAGTAGATCCTACCTTTCCATCTACTGGTATGTTTTTTGAGAAAAAGAGCATTTCTTTTCATTCTGTTAAATTCATCCTATCACCTGGGATGTTGGTTAGCACGGAGTAGAAGCTCTAGAAAGATTGTTGACCAATGATCTTATTGACTGGATCATCTTTCCAGAGTACGACTATTTTGGACATCTTAAAGATGAAGTCAGATAAGCTGGCAGTGACCTGATTAATGTTGTGGTAAGCAGATGCCACTGTGGTTGGGAAATATCTTCTGTTGAGTGATCCAGTCCTCCTGACTAGACTTCCCTTCTAATGGGTGTATTAATAAGTGTTAGTTGATAAGAATTAAATGTTGTACCTTTCTTGGGTAATAAGAGGATAGTTTTATGGTTTCATGATGTGAAGACTAAGATACATAAGAAATCAAGAACGAGCCTCTGGGTGTTCCCTCTGATCAACAAACATGAATTCATAATTTTACTTATTCTCATCTTTGTAATGCACATGGACAGTCCTCCAGGCAGATCCTATTTACTAAGCTTCTTCAGGCTTTTATCCTATTTTATAATGCCCAAACACATGGAGAAAATATTTTGTTGTTTTTGAAAATTGGTATGGGATTTCTGATATAATCAATTTTATTGACTTCTTGAGAGTTGTCATGATCTGTGACTCACTGCATAATATTGTAGTTTTACAGGGTGGTACATCACCCTTTGTAAAACAACTTTTACGACCTGAGTACTGATGAGTATAGGAAGTGAGGTTTACATGAGTAGCATTTATTAAGTAACTGCTAGAATCAAAGCACTGCATTAGCTACGAAGTTACCAAGTAAGACGCAAACAGTTTAGTAAGAAAGATAGGGCATCTACCCCAGTCAGCTGTTCAGTGACATCTGCTATTTGAATCACACACCCGTGGAACCAAAAGTAAATGCTGGAAGGGTGAGAAGAAGGTGAAGAAGGCTTCCTGGGGAAAGAGATAAGGAATTAAGAGAAATAGAAAAGAGCACTAAAGAAGTACTCAGGATGGTTATTCAAGGAATTGGGGGTCCACAGCAGCTCTGCAGAATATCCTTGGGGCCAGAAAAATGGGGTACGGGTGAAGGGAACTGGATCTGGAGTGTTGCATGTTTTTCCTGGTTAACCCTCAGAGTCACCCTGAAGATGTGAATCCCATCTTATAGGTGAGGACACTGAGTCGGGAAATTAACTTGCTGAAATCAAGTCCTCCCAGTCCTTCCATCAGGTCCTCCCAGATCTGGAGGAGCCAGGATTTGAACTCACATTTGTCTGACTTCAAAGCCCATGCTTTTTCTTGTGTTCCACATTGCACAGTGGAGCCTCTGCCAGTTCAAGCTTCTATGAAAAGGGATGGATGAGAAAAGTCATTTGTTGATTCCACAGACTTTAAGTAGGTACCATGTCTCCTGCCCTTTTCACTATCCTACTCCTCTGCTACAACGTCTCTGCTACAGGTACCCACCTCTGCAGTTACTTGATATAAGTGAAATAAATCCATTCATCCACGCTTCCATTCGTTGAATAAGTATGTATCAATGGCTTCCTTTGTGTCAGGCACTATTCTAGGAGCTGGGGCTACAGTGCGGATCAAAACCAGCAGAGCTCACCACCCTCATGGAGCTTACATGTGAGTGGACAAATCTCAGAGGATTCTTCTGTCATAGGTCCCGGCTCCTCTGCCAGCTCTTCCAAATGGGTTCAGAGAGATTTTCTCCTTGTCCTGTTGTGTAACTGATAATCCCATGGTGGCCCTCACTTTGCTCTTCATATGCACTAAGTAGTCTAGGGTGTGCTTTGTGGCCAGCAATTGTGACAGATTCTTTTCTTCTATTGGTGTATGGTTTCTTCAGGGCATGTGTTTGGCTACTGATGGCATCTTCCAGGGGGTCTGAGGCACCTAACAAACCTCAGCTCACTAGCATGTGATCCTGGAGTTGCCTGGTAAATTATCTTTCTTCTTTCACAGAACTGCCCCTTTTCTGAGGGCAAGGTCTATGTCCTGCTCATTTTTTGGATCCGTAATGGCTGGCAAAGTACCTGGTGCATAATACGGTTCAACAAATATTTGTAAAAGGGATGAATCAAATAGTCCCTCAAAGATCTTCAGAATCAAGAATGTCATCTAGATTGCACCCAAAGTTTATCTTTCTAGTATTCATAATGTAATCAATTATTGATGAAATTGTTCCATGTTACCATTCTTGAATGAAAACTATTCATTTTAAATACTAGCATATGAGATATCTTTGAAAAGAAGATTAGTCATTGTATGTATTGCTTATAAATTTTCTCTGTGGTGGAAAATATTCCCAAGCCATGGCTAAGCACTGATAAACCAGTGTTCTGGCAGAGAATAGATTGATGTTTGTGGTGTTTTATATCTGTCTTCCTGTTCCAAATTGTTTATATATATTTGATGGTCCATGGACTTGACTTGCAAGTATTTTCCTGGAAAGCATTTTTATTCCAAAGACCTGTATTTCCTGCCAAACCTTCATTTAAGAGACTCATTATGGATGTCATCTGCATCATTGCAAACTTTTCTGGTCATCTCTATAAATAGCAAGATAACATTTCCATTGAGTTTTTACATTGGCTCTTGAATTTTAAAATATTCTCATAGACCAACATAATTGAAATGGGAGGTAAGGAAGTAAGAACTGCTTATTTGCAGGAAATGCAGGCTCATGTGTGAC